ATATAGCCCGTTGTGATCACAATCTGTGACTCAACATTTCGGCGCCGTCGAATTTCGATATACAGTTGCATTAAAATTGGTCAACATAAATCATGTTTAAAATGAACCGATAACAGAAATATAAATATGCTAAAAAATGATAACAATAATAATCGTGTTCGATTAAACCACTGGTTTTATATGCGTATTATTATTAAATAAACTTTATTCGCCAAACTAATTAATTTGAATCTGACAACAAAGTATAATTAGAAGTAGTAAATTTAGTATCAAAATATTATTGATTCGACACGAATAACAATTAATATCAATTAACATATTATTTGGCACTATATTAGACTCGTCGATTATCCAAATTATGTAGTCTTATTGCCGGAGGAAAAGTGATTTAGAGATAATCTGTAACTCCAAACGTTTCCACCGTCGATTATGCGCTATATAGAACAAACTAATACTGCGGTAATTTAAGTTTTAACTTCAGACGATAACAATACACGTATATCGAATTTCTTTGTTGGATACGAATTGTATTTTTCATCGCTTTGTTGTTCGTAATTCTCACGTTAAGCGACATCGAATTAAATATAATGGAATTGCGGTTTGTTGCACTCTCGTGTTCTGTCTGCGCCTAGTTGGGAATAATTGTAAAATGTAATTTCTAAACGCGTCGTTTACAAGGTAGTCTCAGGTACGATAAATAATATTATAATTTATTATTGTCGAGTTTTGCGCGCTTGTTCCTTTAGACTTTGGTGTCGTGCGACAATGCGTTAGAAAATAAAAATATACGGGTACACGTTAACATTAGACGAATTAGTTTTTCTTTTTTTTGTAGATTTGATCAAAGCCGAAAAAAAAAAAAACAACGAGTAAAACACCGAACACGTGCGTCGCACCGTCGAAGGGGGTGCCGCAAGAAGTAAGTGTACGCCTAGAGAAAAAAAAGCAACATCATTCCTTCGGAAAAGGCACGACTACTGGAAATAATAATAATAATAATAATAATAAAATAATCAATGTTCCAGGCCCCCTCAAATGTGTGTGTGTGTGTGTCCCTTTACTTACTACACGGCATGTACCTGTTTTTTCTTTGTCGACCGGGCACGCGCGTTTAAAACATTCATGCGATGCGCTTTTTTAAAAAACCCCTATGTACATATCGCCGCCGCAGCGACCGTGCATTTTTAGCTTTTTTTTTTTTAATTTCCATACAAACAGAAACGCAGCACAGGCCTGTTATTTGAATGGCGGTTGCCAAGCCGTTGCATGTCCGACGGTGTACGACCGATAAAGAGCACGGTGGCGAGTGTACACGAAATGCGGAAGTAAATCTTACCTACTACTCAGACTACAACAGTAATGATGCTCGTGAATTGGCTTATTACCCGGCTCATAAACGCCAGCAAAGGTTACGGGTGCATTGTCGGTGCTTAAAAAAATAACCAAGACGGTGAGACCGGGTTGGATAGATTTTTAAAAAGCGTATCGTGTACGAAAGAGATGAAATCACTTTTTAGAAAACGTTTCCACGCAATTCTGTGATTGGTGGCAAAATCCCTTCTATGTAAAAAAAAAAAAACATATTACATATGAAAGGTTAATTGACTGAAATTTTTCTGCAGATGATAAATCGCCCACGGTAGTCGGCGTAGAAATGTAAGTAACAGTCTTCAAATAAAATAACAAACATTATTTGAAATAAATTTTAGAAAAATGAGGGTTTTTACAACTTAAAGGCGATTAAAAAAAAAAAACTAAAGAAGCCAAAATGTCTGAGATCAGATTAAGGCGCAGCGAAAAAAAATAATCTAAATTCACATCAGTAAAAAGTTGTTTAAAATTTTTTTTTCAATTATGTGGGAATATACACGGGTTAAAATTAATTGAATTCTAAATAAGATTGGTTTAACAAACAATGTGTAGGAAATCGTTGGACGCCCACGGGTTAAATTTATTGTAGTATAAGAAGTTCACAGTTGACAGTTCTGTTTACCATGCACAAAATAATACAGATATAGTGTCTTTGACAATTTGAATTTTGTCTTTGTTTAAGACAATTTCTTTGTTCTGATGTGCAAGAACGGGATGTTGAAAATCGTGTCATATTTTTTTTTGTTTTGTCGCGCTTTGAAAGGAGCGCAACGTTAAACCTTTTAAAAATAATAAAAATAAACTAACGGTAAAACTATAGTTTTTTACTTGTCCCAATATAATAGGGTTAAGACAACCCAAGAGGATGCAACCGTGCTCTTCCTTCCCGGCCATTTTTTTTTCACAACAAACAGGAAATCGTTATCGGATTTCGAAAACCGGAATCATGTATTTCTCATTTATATGAGCTACAAAAAATTATATTTATTAAAAAAAAAATTAGAAATTCTAATATTTTCTTAACCTTTTTTTGGGGTTTTTTTTTTGGATAATATTATAAATATAAGTTTAATAAAAACTTAATTTAAAACTAATCAATATTGTCTTGATTTAAAAATGTAATAAAATATTTACGTTACTATTTTATTTTTTCAAATTACATTCACATAAAATTAAAATACCTATTATCATATTATGTAATTGTCGACCACTTGAATTTTATATATGTAAATCGTCCGAATCGTTAGCCGAGTCTTACAATGTTTATTTTTAACCAAGGCATTGTGTGCAAATTTACTCGGCCAAAAGTATAAAATCAGAATCTAAATATATCTACACTGTGATCATAATATTATTTGTTTGCAAATATTCACCTCAAATGTTTATATTAGCATTTACCAAAAGTATAATTTTAAACAGGTTACTATAGTAATTCGATTTACAGACTTACATAACTTCATCGACGTAGGAATTGTGTAAGTGTTTTTAATATAGCCTAATCAAAATTAATATTTAATCATCAGGATTTTTTTACATTATAAATACAAAAATTTTGAAATTCTCGAAAACATATATTTTCAAATATCGTCGCAATAGGTACCTCTATGTTCCTTTATGCGGCAACATAATTTACACGGTTAATTAAAAATATATTTTTTTTTAACTGTTGTCTGACATCTTACGTCATAAGTTATGGCATAACAGCGTACATATTGCTTACGGTTAAACTCAAATTAGTTAATTATTAAGAGGGCGTCTTACTAAAAATTGTAGGTAGTCCCGAACGATACAGAAAAATCACCAGTAGTAAAATAACAATAATTATTATTGGACTTACTACACAAGCATAGGCGAAAATTGGGAGGAGATTGGATGTGCTTAGCGCCCCCCCAGTTGGTACTTGAATACATAAAAAATGATTAGTGAATTTTTACAGCACAAACGAGTCATTCAAACCCGGTGACCGCACGACTGAAGTCTGAACAAATCGAATAAATTCGAGGGTGAGCAAAATCTAAACACCTGTTTCATAATATTTACCAAGGTAACGGAATACGTTTACCTACTGGTATTTTGGAACAATACAAAAGACACAGATAATATATAAAATAAACTAGAAATTGCTAAGTGTACGTGCCGCCAATAGAGATAATTGAAGTTACCATTTTCCGCCATCTTTGTGGGAATTAGAACCTTATCACATGAAAATATGTTTATAACAATTATAAATTCAGTTGATAACAGAGAATTCCAAATATACCTCTATATATATATTCTGTTCGAAATAAGAAGCGACTTAGGCGGCTACCTGAAAACCGGTTTTTTACGTGGCTTTCAGATAGCCGCCGAGGTCGTTTCTTATTTTGAACCGAGTTTATAGAAATATATTATTTTGTACGCACATGAAGCCCACAAAAATGGCTGACGTCGACTTCAAAACTTATCGCTAGTTAGCAATCTATTTTATTGTGATAAAAGAGAAATTCCTTATCAGTTATCCCAATTTTATTTTCTCTGTTGTAGGGACTTAAACGGCGTTTGCGAAAACGAAAACATAATTTTAATGGAAGTTTCGTTGCCATTTTCAAAACGTTACCACATTACTAAATCATAACTTGCCATTGAGGATGTATTGTTTCAACCCCACATCCTATTGAAACGCCGACAAGGGCGAAAAGCGATGTACTTGACGAGCACTAAATATAAACAACAACTAGATGTTTCAAAAATTAGGCCAATAAATCAATTAGCCGGTTTTCGCGGTCAGTAAAAACATAACGGTAACGAACACATTTTGGCTGTAATCCAATTTAAAGTTATTTTTTCGGCAATTTTTTTTATTTACAAATCGGTTTGTTTTTGTCTCAACAATGAGCTTGCGCACATACAGTCTTGAAGACCAAAATAATTTTTAAAATCCACAACAACAAACGAAAAATGCATTTTGAGTAATATCGATAAAAGTCACAATTAAAAATAACTACGAATCCTCTAACGGCTTTTGTTTACAAGCGAAAAAAACCCAAATACAATCGTACAAAGAATTGTAGTGATATTCAATATTGTAAACACTAAACATATATTAAAAAAAAAAACACTATACTATAGGTACGCTTAGTCGATAAAACTTACGAATGATTTTAACGCCCGACTTGCAAAGACAACACTGAAACATTTTTAAAATAGCCAAACGAATTTTCCACATAAAGCTACTGTTCCGAAATTAAAAATTTTAATCTACGCATATTTGTGTGTAATTTAATCGTCATTGAACGTGAAAATTACAAAAAAAAACAAAGCAACGCCGTAAGAAGAAACGATTGAAAATTTCTTGGAAAAAAAATTGGAATGTAAGAAAAATCGAAAATTAAGTACGTTGAAATATGTTCCCATTTAAAGTTTTTATCCGTAGACCATAATAATCTACATAATGTTTTTGTATGGACGGTAATACCGTTAAAGTCGCTTTCTCGACGTGCCGCCCGGGGTTTAGAACGTGTAACCGCGTGTAATATTACCACTGAACTGTAATAACGTCATTGGAGCATTACACCTTGTCGCTGGTGTGTGCCGCAAAAACACAAATGGGTACATATTTTCTTTTTCTAAATTGTAAATAATTTAATTACCTGGAAATCGGTGGCGGCCGAATAGGACAATAGACTTATTTTCTGAACGCCGCCGGACAACAAACTGGACGCGTATCGTATAAATAGAAATGTTTATGGCGAATGTTGTTATCAGTGTTAACGTTGGACGAGCGCTCGACGGTTGAGTATCCGCTACCGATCACAGACGACGACTGGCGTTGTGGCTTGACGATCATGTGTGATAACGGCAACGCGCGTCGACGGACGCCGCGTGGTGCGTATTTCGTCGCGGATGGACGGACACGGTCGAAGACGGTGCGGCGGCTGCGTCCCGTGCGGCTTTGGTGTTTGTCGCGCGACCAATTGTGAGCGCGACCGCCGCCGCGTACCGCGTAGGTATTCGTGACGCCGCCACTCCCTCCACCGACGCGGCCCCGGCAGCCGGTTTTCCTCGTTATGCAATTCTACAACGGCCAACGACGGCTATTATTGTATATATTTTACGTGTACGTTTTGTTATTGTTATTATTGTTTACCGTACGGATAAAATGTACGCGGCCGCAGGTGCGTTATTGTCGTTCAGCGTTCTGCGTGTCTGCAACAGGACGCACCGGAATTGTCCCGGATTTGACCCTCCCATAACGAATTGAAAAATTGACAACACACGTTGTTGAAAAAATTGTGTTATAGAATTATACAATTACGTGCACTTTAGCTTCGTTACAAAGCTAAGAAATAAGAAGGTATTGTTTTTCCAATGAGTTTTTTCACGGATTTAGCAATTCAACATATCAGAAATCGTATCCAAAAGTCACACCGTAAGGCGTAAAATGAAAATTTTTGTGACTTTATAACTTATTTGGCTGGAGTTTGTAAATGTGTTTCACAAAAAAAATATGATAAAAATAACTCTAGATATCAAAGTACAGTGTTTCAACTTCCAAGTCACCCAAAATGTTTCATTTGACCTTAGTTGACGGTAATATACCAAAATATATCATCAACTATCTCCAATATAATTATTCCCCCAGAAGAAGTAGAAACTTTTTCTTTATTTTACATTTTACATTTGACATGGATATCTTATTTAAGACTTCATGTGTGATAATTAGACTGAAGGAAAATCTAATTTAACTCTACAATACTTAAAACATTTTCAAATAACCTGCTGTTTCTTCTTAGTCTTTTTTTTTTTTTAGGAAAAACTAAAAATTTAACTAAATACGCAATAATATAAAGAATTATAGATGGATTATTACGGAGGAGGATGATGATGGATAATTAATAATTATGGAGGGATTATGGAGGAGGATCGTGGAGATCTTTGGAGGAGAATCGTGAAGGGTTTATGGAGAAGGATCATGGAGGGATTATGGAGGATGAGGATGGAGGAAAATAATGGAGGGATTACGGAGGACGAGGATGAGTTAGGGTCAACATCAACGTCAACATCAACATCAACGTGTTTGTGTGTGGATGTGCGTGTGTGTGAGTGTTTATATGTGTGAGTGTGGGTATGCGTGTGTGTGTGTGTGTGTGTGTGTGTGTGAGAATCTTCCTTTATACCCCTCCATGATTCTCCTCCATAAATCTCTTCTATACTCTCTCTATAATCCTCCTTCATAATCCCTCCATGATCCTCCTCCATAAATATCTTCTATAATTCTCCTTTATCCTCCTCCTCCATAATCCCTTCATAATTCATAAATACTCCTCTATATTCCTCCCCCATATTCCTCCATTATCCTCTTCCATATTCCTCCATATTATTTAATGATATTTACGTGACATTTAAAAACACATATATATTAATGACGTTTATTGATGAGTATTTACAATTTTTATAATATGCAAATGTAACAAAATATCTATACAAATAATAATTATAATTTTTCTTTTATTTGTTTACAAAATATGTGTTTTGGGGGATCTGTTTAAATTAGAGTACCAACTGGTCATTATTAATCGAGAACTAATTTGTAGTGTAAAACTAATTAGATAAGGGTAGTGTATAGAGTATCAATTAAAAATTGAGTATTCAAATTAAGTAATACCTACGAATTTTAAATGCCCTTTTTTGATTAAAAAGATTGACTGGCCGGTACCACGTAGTACTGATATGACACAGTACAAAATATATCAAGCTTAATGTTACAAACGGTTTTACAATGGACGGTTGTATAAATGTTGTATAATATTAATTATATAATTAAAAATTATACCTACTGTGTCTCTTATACAGTGTCGTATACTGTGTCTTATACTGTGTCTCTTTATTTACAATTAATTTACAAAAGTTTGACACTAATTTGGAATTGATAGGATAATGTAGGGGGCCAAAATTGAGCGAAGGTACAAACAGAATGCCTAAGTCCTGAACCTGGCTAACGCGATGAATGGATAGTCCGCTTAGTTTGTAGTTAAAGCGTTTATTGTTTGACGAATTTATGAATTAAAAATCACCTTTTTATAAACCTTTTACATTGTAGACTTTAGAATTCGTTAATACTATTATTAATAACAATAGAATTTATTATGATATAGTTTAGTTGAAACGGTTTTTAGCATGAGAATATATAAAATAGTTTAAGACCGTGTAAGTAAAAATTAAGAAACTATGTTTTAAAACCATTGAAATCTTTATTATTGGAGTCCTAGGGTATCTAAGAAAAATCACTGTTAAAAATGATATATTTAAAATGTGTTATTTATTACTACATACCTAATAAAATATGTAAAAAAAACTTATGAGTAAATTATTACTCATATTGGGAATTTCAACAGTCAGCTGTCAGACTACCTCTGTTGAACTAATGCAATTTTACAGATATAACTAAACTGTATTATTTTGTATCAATATTATACTTCTCGGGCAATTTTTTAAAAATGTTTTACGATAAATGGTTACCAGAAGTTTTGGTAACGATTTTATAAATAAATAATATCAAAATGCATGCCGATTTTTCGAATCGACCGTAATAATATGCTTTTGCCCATTTCTCGTATGACAACAATATATCTTTAAGACTATTTCCAACCTACATTTCCTTAATTAATTCCAATTAACCGATGGCGTTTCCGTCTGTTCTGGTAAACATCAGCTACAAGGTTTGAATGAACAAGTGAACTACTACAAACAGGAACTACTAATATAAAAAAATTAAAATCGTATGTCGCACAATACAATTCATTACATTTTTCATACAAATGTCATCGGCGTGGGATGTCTCGTCAATGAAAGAATTAACTTTCTTAGGTCCATTTTGTTCCACTTTTATTAGGTTAATTGCATTGTAAATTACGGCTAATTTTCATTTTGGTGGCAGACGACCAGTGTAGTCCCCAGAAATATTTTACAGCGGTTGAACTGTTCAACGGCTCAATTTTGAAAAGCAAAAAATAAATTAAACATTTTTTTTGACAAGTTCCTATGTTTTTTTGTGACTATGTGCTCAACATAATATGTTTTGGTGGTATTTGTCACATATAAATTAATTTAATTTTAAATTGTATCACACAGACAGTATATTTTTTTGCACAGCCTTAAATTAGTTAAGATTTTATTTTTGGTTTTCTGACAACCAAGTTGATAACAAATGTCACCAAAATCAGATATTTACATATTATTTAGAATTACCCAGTAATATTAATTAATAAATCAAAATAGATCCTTTTGTCAATAATTTATTTTTGGGTACAAGACCAAGTGCATAACGCACACTTTTAACATTTTTAATTTTATTAGAATTTTGATTCTAAAAATGTTTAAACATTATATTTTTTTATTACATATTTTTCCTTACTAATAAAAACCTTTTTTAGAAGCTATAATAATTAAGTTATTTAATTGTATACATCATCTCAAAAATTACATAGTGTCACTTATACCTTTCTGGTTCTTGCCATTATTATTTTCTTTTAATCTACTAATAAAATTAATTTGAACCTAGCATTTACTATGCAAAAAATTATATATATATATATATAATTATTAAATATGACCGATAGTTACAACAAGATTTAGTGTTTACTATATTTGTTAATTTTGACAAAATTAGAAGTTTCTAAATACCTATACATTATATTGAATAATGGCAAAATTGTATGTTTAGTAAAAACAAATCGATCAAGAAGTGGGTACATAAAATAAAAACTAACTAAAATGTATTAAATCAAAGACTATGATAACTATGTCGCCATCTATTAGATATAATCTCAAATACTATAGTGCGATTCTGTAAAGATCATAATGCAACAATTAAAACATTTTAAATGGTTGTTACTATATAGTATTTTTTTTATATGTTAACTATTTACATTACTCGCTGCAACAAAATTGAAATCTCACTTAAAGAATAAGACCTAAAAAAGGATTGTACGACCGATTCTTTTAAAATCCTTCCTTGTCGTTCTGGTGCAAATATAATACTAACTAATAATAGGTCATACCTACTAACTTACCGTGTAGCTTATGTGACTTGTAGCACCGCGCAGCTTCATTGTAGACTTTGGTAAATTTTTACTTTTTAGTAGTAAGATGAAGAATAGCTTAAGTTCTGAACCCTGCTCGAAAGTCAGACGTTTCAAAAATGAATTACCTATTAAAAACCATCGTATTTTTCATTTCAATGTATAATTAATGTATACATATATTGATGTTTTATGTATGATATCAGTTCAGATTATTGAAAAAAAAAATGATGGCTTCATATTATATTATTACCAGGTATTTAGCTCAGTAATTTCGGTTAATACACTTTGATTATTTACTAATCATATCGTCAACATTAAACATACTTCAATCGCGTTAATACTAATAATTAATAAACCATTATGTATTACACTTAATTTATCACAGCTGCTGTCAACTGTCGTTTGTTTCACCGGCTACCGCATCTACCCACATTGTTATTGTCGGTAAGTATGGATATGTTGAACACACTGATTTCCATATTAATTGTGAATACTTATGCGTCGACTTTACTCCCAATATTATAACTTCGATGTTGTCCTTGCAGTCAGGATTAAACGCATATAGTATAGGATTTTAGGCGCCACCATAACAGTTCTAATTCAAAAAACAATTATTAAACGCCTGCTAAACCGTCAGCTTATCCAAATAACTCATTTTCTCTCTATGGCTATATAAGAGCCCTCTACGAGCTTAATCTTTTCAGTAAGAGTACCAACACCTTCACATCAGTTTGTTGTGTGATTTTTCTATGTGCTTAGGTAATTGATACACAACCAAGTTTGATTTTAAAAGTAATTTTTTAAAAATCAAATTCGATAACCGCAAGCAACTGAATACAATTTTGACGCAGTTCGATAGAAAGTATTTAAGGAGGCGATTCGACTTAACCCTTAAGTTTGTTTATTCATTTAATTGAACTCTGTTATTGTGGCTAAAGACACAACTCTAAAATCACTATGTACTTCTAAAGATACACAAAATCTCTTAAACAGTTTTTAAGCATATTTTCTTTTAAAGCTAATTAATTAGTATTTCTTAAAACATAAGTGCATATATTTTTAATTAATTTTAAGTTGAAATTTGTTCAATGACTAAAATTGATTTGTTCTCTTATGCACGACAGAAAATCACGGACGTTGACTTTTGACCAAACGCAGGTAATAATATATGTTAATTAATAAATTAAAAACTATAAAAGAACGGCACGATAATGACCAAAAACTATTTGGACAAAAAATGTAGTCAAATAAGGGCATAGTATATAACAAATTTTTGAAAAAAACATGCAAAAAAAAAGCCAACGGCACGTAGTGTTCCCAAGCGGTCACCCATCCAAGTACTAACTACGCCCGACGTTGCTTAACTTCAGTGATCGGACGAGAACTGGTGTATTCAACGTGGTATGGTCGTTGGCGATAGAAGGTTAGGTTTTTTAGATATTTCACTATAATTAGAAAATGATTCGCCGTGGAAAATACTTGTCACTAGTGAAGTTTTTACCCGAACTAAAATAACATGTTTAAATAAAAACACACAAAATCTTTTTAATATTTGCTTGCTATCAAAGTATTATGAACGCACTTCTTAAAATGAATTATAATACTACAAAACTTAAAAAGAAACGTTATAACAAACTAATTTTTACTATTATACATTATTTATAAACTTACATTACATTGTTTATATATATTTCCAAAACCTAAAAATAAATAAATAATTTCAAAATATAGGCGGATAGGTAATAGAAAATAATATAAAATTATAATACAACAGCTATTTGTAGGTAAATCAAAAGTAAACGTAATTTTGAATAGCACCTACGCAATATTGATAATGTCTTAATATCAATGTGTAAAAAATTCACACGAACTTGTATTTTTGTCTATTAAAAAATTACTTTTAGTTAGATAATATATTTCTGTGATGTATTGAATAAGGTCTTAAAAATACTATTTAGAGTTTTGTATATTTTTTATTATCAAAATATAGTAACAGTCAACAAATGTTATATACTATGTAACAAAAGGCGAAGAGTGAGGTAGGTAAGTAACTGAAAATAAGGACCTTCACTTTACAACCCCCCTTCATACATTTCCGATCACTCTTTAAAATGTAATTATTATCTAATATCTAGGTATATAAATGTAAATATATACAATTAACTAATTAAGCGATGGAAATAAAAAGAAAATGGTAATCCGTTTCCACTGTCCTTGGGTCAGATTCAAATCGAACGTACTTACGTGACGACTGTTACTATTTTAAAATGTACTTATTATTTTTGAACGCATCAAAATAACATAGCCGTGGCCGTTTAAGTTAGGTTCGAGAAGCAAATTGATAGGTATATGTAGGTACACGGATTGTTCAAACGTCGCGAAATCCACTTCCAAGCACACCACGTTAAAAACGCCAGGTGATAACACACGTTGTTATCACTTTTCCAGCGGTGCCAGCTCTGCTATTCGTTATCAGTTTTACTGTCCCGACGGAGGAAGTGGCCGATCTGTTCCGCTTGGTCGACCGTGTTGGGCAGCTTGATGTTTTTACTCTCCGGCAGAGTCATGGTGATGGCGGCCACCAAAAACGCGGTCACTCCGAACACTAACATGGTCACATACTCTCCAAAGTATACCGCCTGGAAAAATACCACAGAGAGCTCCGTTTTAGACTGGAAGCTGCGACCTTGGATCACGAGTGAAAGTCAAATAAGAGAGCCTGAACTGAAAACACTCTTTTCTAAAACTTCTCTATCGTCCCGAGATTTCGTTTGCTTTTATTATTTTTAAAAAACGTCGTGTCTTAGTTTGATCGTATGTACTACCTATTTGTGTACTTACTAAAAGCGTGGTTTGCGGCGCTAACATGGAACCGACTCGCCCCATCATTGAGCACACGGCCAAAAGGGTGGCTCGCATGCGCGTGGGGAATATTTCTACGGTCAACATGTACACAATGCAAAACGCCACTGATATGGCCAGCTTGCTGATCATGAACATCGACAACTTGACCCACATGTAATCTGTCGGGCAAACAAAATCAAATACATTTTAACGATGCGTTTGAGTGAAATTGTCACTATAAAACAACTAGTTTACCTGGCGGCGTCAAGTTGTAACACACAGAGGTGACTCCGCTGAGTAAGCACATTGTCACCAGCGACGATTTCCTGGACAATTCTTCCATTATGAACCAGTTGAGCAAACAGGATGGTACCTCGACAAACGTGACCAACATGAAGTTGATGTACTTGTCGCCGGCAATGTCCGTGGCGTTGATCGACAGACCGTAGTACACAAGAGTTATGCCAATCCTGCGGATAAAATCCATAATTTGCAAAGTATAAAAACGAAATAGATTTTTATAACAATATCAGCATCGTCATGTACCAAACTAGTGAACACCGAATAGTTCTGAGAAAGATCATCGGTGAGCGGATTATGTCTCGAAGGATACTGGCTTTGGATTTCACCCCGTCGCCGTCGGTCAAGTAACTTGTGCTCTAGAAAATATTATAAGCCATTCATTTTCAATTGCACAATCATGCGTTCTACCATAGTCATGGGTTTACGTATTGGGAGTGCTGATCAATAGTACTGAAATAGTTGGGTTAGTTGGTGTCGGCGAAACTATAAACTACACTAAGTGGTTTCAACGTAAATATAATATTTTTGCATAATATTAAGGGATAAAATTATCCCACATAATTTCCTATCTTCATATTGTTAATAAAGTACATATGCCGTGTAACAATAATTATAGTGACACATGATAACATAAAATTGTCTCTTTGAACTTCTTGATCTATACAATCTAGATTATGTATATAGATTATATCGTTAGGTAGACATTAAAATAAGTATTCTATAAACAGTTGATTTATCACTTTTGCATAATAATTATTTGATGTATATCGTCTATCTTACACTGTGTACACCCTTATCGCGTTATATGTATATTTCCAATGGGTAACGAATACGATTATTATAAAAACCAATGCAGATAACACGTGATTTGTATTATATAGGGTATATATGTATATATATTTTATTGGGAGATAACCAAGGTACTCGTATATACAAGCGTAATTTTTTTAAACTTAATTTTGATGATAAAGTTGTGACTCTTGACTCGAGAAAAAACTGTAATATTTCAACGAGACGTTTGAATGAAATAACGATTAAATTGATGTCATTAAATTTTACTTAAATTTTCTCAAAATGGAAATTATTAATATTATGTTATTAAATGTTATAATAGTTTGGCCAACCAAATGATCGACCTTTTTCGCGTTTAGTTTAGGTGTACTCTTAGAAAACCAATTAAAGTCTGCATAATGTCTATGATTTATTTTAGCACTTATGTCATTTGTCTTAACACAATTATTGTATTATAGTATTTTTGGTTAATTGCTTTTATTATAGACGACTGCAGACTGCACTTAAAAGAAGTCGATAAGGTCATTACTATAGCATTATAATAACAGGGTACTTCGCTAATTTATTGGTCAATGTACAGCTAGACGTATTTCGTGTTAAAAGTACACAATTAAAATTACCTCCAACTGCATGTTTGACAAATCCGGTAAGTGTTTCTTGTTGGTTTTCGCTATGTTGTGGAGAATTTTGATCACCTTATCCTTTTTGCCTTGCATTTCCAACCATCTCATCGATTCTTCAGTTAGCCTAAGTGCAAAAGAATCAGTTATTTGGACGTGCAGATGGTAACGGTTGCGAATCTACCCACCAGAAGTACAACAAAAACAGCAATCCTGGAACGTTGGATATTTGCAACAGTAACCTCCAGTCCTTGACTTGACTAGCGATAAAAGCTACCAGCATTCCACCGAACGGATAAAATGTTTCCAGTAAAGAATAGAATACTACCCTTTGCTTGGGCAATACCAATTCCATGGCTAAAAATATCATAATTAATTACATTTTTTAGTATGTTTATTCTGTTGTGTTGTTATTATATTATCATTTCATCCAATGGCTTCGGTAGGAAATGAGTATGATGACGCTGCGATACTGCAGTCAATAAATTCATTTAAGTGCAGTTGTTCATTTTAAAATTTGTTTAACAACCTAGCCATACAGTGTTTTGATTTAGACAATTGAGATTACGTATAACTGACAGCTATAGAGGCTAGATATATATTTTGAATATGGTCTCTAGGCAGTCGCTTAACCCTTCGGCGGGCGCGTGGCAGCACTGAGTGATGTTATCCCATTGATTTCTTATGATAACAAAAAAAGCGCGCCCACCGGAGGGTTAACCAGAAAAAAAAGGGTCTGCAAGTAGGTAGCACTTAAAGCTGTTCACGATATAATTATTTTGTTTTAGGAAGGTAATTAGTCGTAAGAGTGGCTGAAAAAAATGATTTTTTCCACACGAACTTGTACGTTAGCAAACTTTATAAATATATACATACTTTTACAGTAGATTTGGACTCAATGATAAGTTTATAAAACGAACAAACGTACCCAGTACGAAGGTAATGGTGTATACACCGCTGGAGACTATAGACGACAAAAGTTCTAGAACCAGGAACATCGTGTAACTAACTGAGAGCGATTGGATGATACTTAAGATGGCCGACGAGACCGCACCGAATATCATTCCGAACTTTCGACCAAATCTACGAGAAAAGCCGTTCAAAATTAATTAGGCAATTTGTGAATTACATTTGTATATGGACTCACTTGTCTGCGATCATACCCGAAAGTGGTATGCCCACGAATTGTCCAAAGTTGTTGACCGTTCCCACCATAGATAACTTCCATTTGTTGTCTTCGCACATCAGTCCAAACTGAAAAACAAATGAATACAAGACATTTAGAGACCGCTAAAATGTTTACTTCCGGCACTCGTCTCTTTACAAATTATTTCCCAAGCCAGATAGGTTATCCCCTGTTACCCTGTTCGAGTCTAATTTAAAACAAACTAGAGTTTGAGACATTATTAAACTGGGAAACGATCAAAGTTAAATTTTAGAGAGCCCGCAACAATAAACCTGTAAAATAAAATTGCACTTTGGTGAGTAACCAAAAAAAAATATGACTGATACAGAGTTTTCCTTTTATTTTGAACGAGACGTTTCTGGCACACAACAACCCTGTAGCTTCTTTCTACCGGATGTTCACTTTATTATCTCGCCATATATATATTCTTCAATTCCATTTCAATTCTCTTGCATAATTACTAATGCCAAATACTTGCACACCATTGCATTCGTTCACGACGTACTAATCGAATTGCATAATTGAACGATTACGATCGCATTCCGAGGTTATTCTTATCGCCATCGATTATACACTTAAACAACTCACAAAAGTAAATTATTATCTATAGTTTTTTTTATCAAGTGTACTAACCTCCGTGCCGATGGTGATTTCGTGATCTTCGAAAACCCAATCGCCGTTGCGGCATGTTTCTATGATAGTCTGATTGAAGTCTCGCGGAAGACACTGATCGCTTTTCGTACCATTGTCGTAAACCATTGCCTTGCCGTACCGCTCACACTTGTAAGGGTGGCCCGTCTCCTCTCTGAAAGGCGTAGAGTACTGCAACCATTCCGGGTTGTACGTAAGTTTGGTATTGCCAGAAGTGTCTTCGCACCCTGGCACTTGACACCTGTAATAGAAAAACAATCGTTTATGAAAGAAAACTAACTACGAAGGATAATTAGGGTTATAAGTCAGGTTAGCTACAACGATTGTTCGTCTCGTCAAGTTTGTATAACTTGCCAAATGTTAGGTAATACGTTTTATTTGAGCGAGATGTAGATTTTATTTAAAAAAAAAAACATACCCTTTTGTACAACCTTAATTTGGAGAATACACACTTGTTCTGAAACTATAACCGTGTAAGAAATTGTGTGTTCATATTAAAATCTGAGGCGTATTTTAGAACGAGATTTGGAATGCAAAATGCAAGAAATAAGTTTGCACTTTTCACATGAGACATACGGTAGTTGTAGATTATTTTTCAGGAGGGATTACAATATTTTTCATAATTTTTTTGACAAAACACGAAGCAAAGCTTAAGCCTAGATATCATTACTATGAAATTACGTAAAATTATTAGTAAAAATCTGATATAAAATTAAACTATACTCTCTACTTATGTTCATTTCTTAGCTGTTAACGTATACTGATAAAACAGATGCATTGAACAAATTATGTTATTAAATAATTTGTTGTTAAAAAAATATATAAATACGAGTAGTAAGTATATTATATTATATTATTTTATTTATTAGATTTTTTTTTTATTACTTTATCGCTAAACTGCAATTGGCTGTACGAGCTTTTAATATAAGGTAATTAACTTTCTATCACGTTTAAACGGGAATAATGCATTTCACAATAGACCGGAGGAGCAGACAAGTATTTTAATTGTTGATAATAATCATTTGATAGTTTCAATCTCGTATGCAAATTATTTACTGTCTTGGCGTGCATCTATAAGAATAGATAAGACAAAATATGGCGGGTTTATAATTTGTTTTAGAGAGAACAACGGGTTGCCAAATGACACAGTAATTACTAATAGACATTCGTTACAATTAAGTTTAGATACTAATAAGGTTAAAATAAATAAAATATAAAAGTTATATACAAAGAAAGATAAAAATAAAATAATATTATTAATAGTTATAAAGTATAAATCAATTGTCAATAGATGGTTCATAAATGGATACATTTTTACTTTTGTGCAGGCGTTTTGCCGTATAACGTTTATTAAATGATAAGTGATAGCTTTTGATAACAAACTTAAATATTAATTTAAGTTTTTTAAATGTCTTTTCTCTAGTTTTTTTTTAAACAATGAAATGTCACAGTCCTGGACAAATCACTCAATCGCTTTAGCAAATAAGCATATTAGCACTTAGCGGTTTATGTCAATAGACATCCAAGACTTAACAAGTTAACTACTTCATTTGAAAAGTATTTACTGTAGAGAGTACTTCCTTCTTAGTCTTTTTCCTTATATAGTAATATTTTAACTAACATATATAACCAAAAGCATACAGAGACAGCAAGTTCATTTTGAAAAACTCATCAAGCTTAAGGAAAACTAAATCTAATGTTGTACGCAGTTAAATTTCGGTTAGCTGTTAGTAATGAGTAATGACTTTATAATAAATATATTATTGAGCTATCAATATAGACCATTTAATTGTCTTCTGAGTAATATCTTATTCTTATACACGTCTTTCCAATTAAAATTTAATTGAATGTATTAACATAATAGATTCAAGTTCAAAATTGTTTTAAACAGAACTTGACATTTGTTGGAGAGGAAGATTAACGCATCACTTTAAACGATAATTTACAAAACAATAGATTTAGCATTGTATAAATTAAATCGCTCACATTAATAATATGTATATTTTACATAACAATGTATATAATTATAATAATTTTTATTGGCATTACTTAAGTTTCACCTGTGAGTAGTGTGATGTAATAATTGTTTGCTGTTTTACAGCGAGACAATCTGGTACTTCTTTCACCCTTCACTGCATGATTTTTTTTTTTATAAAAAAAATATGTGCGTTGAGTACCTACTTAATACTACTTAAAAAATGAAAAAGTAATTGTTGAGTTTTAGTTTTGCGAAAAACGCCTAATTTTAAATTGAAAATCGTGCAATACAAGTGTCAGTACAATACTATATGAATATAAATACAACTTAATCATTAATTTTTTTTTAAGAAATAACATCCTAGTTTAACATTTGTAACTCAATATCTCTGCCCCTCAGCTTCGTCGGTTAGGTTAGTATTTAAGTGCGACATCACTTATAATTAGGCTGTAGATAAGTAAAATCAAGCCTAAATTTTAATACAAAACGTTTAAAGTGAAGAGTGTTTTCCTTATTAGTTTTCATAGTTGGCAAGCTATAGTGTGTTAGCTATATTATGAAGTTGAATATATTTCACTACATAATATGACTATAAAGTAATACCTATTAATTTGGATATAGAGTGATCTAAATGCTTTGACACGCTAATTTAACGATTATTTTTAATTAAACAAAAAATACGAACCATATAGAAAGTTATCTTATACGAATAAAAAAAAAAAAAAGCGGCCAAATCCAATTATTATAATAGTACAAAAAACAAACGATTCAAAGTAAATTAACAAAATTCATAGCACTGATAACAGCTCGCATCGTCAATTACATTTAAGTTATTGTAAACTAAACACTAAACAGTATTTTGTGTAACAATCATATTAATACTTTTGTTATCATCATTAAGAGGGCAGAAGCCGCCACGCCGGCCATTTATAGGCAATTTTTTGCAAAATCTTAACTTAAAGGTTAAACTGTGATGTGTAATTATTAGTTCAGTAATTAGGACTCTTTTTTGGTAGTTAATTTATTTTTCAGACTATCACAGCACCCTTGACAGCAATTAAAAAAAAAAACAATTTCATCTTAACATAGCTACGCAGAATGTGTTTTACTCGGTCCATAGTGATTTTAGAGCGAAAACAACTATTATAAAATCGAAATATAAGTTATAACAGCATTTTGAAGACGATGACATAACCGTTTTTTTTACTTCTATAAATATCTGTAACTTTTATTTTTGCCTTAAAATCACCCAGAAAGCCGTATTTTTGAAACGCGTGAACACATTTTTGTACCGCGTTTTTCGCCGGTGTGGCGTCCTCTACAATAGCATTTATTAAGGCGCATTGTATAGGCAAATTTCGCTAAAACATAACATTAGGCTAACATTTTTAAACATACATATTACCACAGTAAAGAAGTATCTATTTTGATAATTATTTTTTTTTTCAACTTTTATGACGCATATAGGATCTATTTTTGTACAAAAACACATGTTTCTACTCCAAACGTACTGTCCTTACGAATGCATTGATTAAAGTTTTTTAAAAAACATTTGAATTCTTCATAACGTTTTCAAGGAAATATTATAGAAATCACCGATGTGGCGTCCTCTTAGTTTGAATTCTATGCATTTCCCTGACTTTATTTGAAATCATTTTATTTTATTTTATTTGACTGTAAATTAACTTTCAATAGTCGTGTTGAACGTTAATAATCATGTTAAATGTACAAAGAATAAAGCTATAAAAACTTTGTAACTAATACCCTATTTGACTGTAACTCAAACTTGGTGTATCGCTTTACTTATATGTCATAAAACCGAAGGGCTACCTGTATTTCAAATCGCCGGCGGTGAAGACATATGTTACCGGAGATATGTTGGAAAACATGAGCACCAATCCAAACAAGATGCATTTTGTTATTTGATACCTGCCCATCCCCGCGGACACCAAAACGTCGTCGATATCCATTTTATTATGTTTCTTTATTGCGCTTGTATCTTCTGTAAAAGTTCCTATTGCGTTATTGGAATATTGTTGCGGTTTGAAAATCCGGTCGAGTGCTGTCCACGTGGAAGCGACAAGACGACTAGATTACCGGCGAAGTCACCGTGTCGTCCGTGGCCGACGGCAAGTGGAAGACTATCAGTGCAACTGACAGCCTATCTATCACTCAAGTATAATATTATGTACAATCATAAATCGTAATTCGTATGAGATATACATAATATGTACCGGGTGATTGGTTAGTTATGGCCCAGTCATTAACTTGGAAGAAATTAGTTTTTTTAATTTTTTTCTTTTTCATACCTTCATAGTTGTTAGTCGGGACAAATTATATTTTTAAAAAATATAACCCCATCCCTTATATTATTTAAAAAACCGTAGGAGCTTAAGTTTTTAAATGGTAACGTATACGATATTTGTTTAATTTTTTTAAACTAATAATAATTTGCTAAACATTATTTTCACTGGTCGATAACTAGTTTTGGATAGTCATTTTCAAAATTATTTAAGTTTAAAATTTAAGTCTGGAGGGTAAGTGCGATCGGGGTACGCGTACAGATAAAAATATCTCTACTCTTCACCCTTCCTTCCCTCCTAAATTTTAAACTTAAATAACTTTGAAAATAATTACCCAAAACTAGTTATCGACCAGTCAAAATGTTCAGCAAATTATTATTAATTTAAAAAGTTAAACAAATATCATATACGTTACCATTTAAAAAACTTAAGTTCTTTAAGTACGTTTTTTGACATACATTTTTCCCAGCTAATAACTATAAACATAAAAAACAATTCAAATTTCTTCCAAGTTATTATTGGCTCGGCCATAGTTAACCAATCACCCGGTATGTATATGATTAATTTTATTTAAAATAATATTCTGTTGTACGGTATGCGTGTTTCTCTGGCAAATTATATAGATACAGTCGCGCTCTGTCGCACAAGGCGCTAAACGCCGACGTTTTAATACAAGTCCTATAAGATGTCCGTCGGGTCTGCCTGTATATATAATAGCAATAATAGGCAACCGTAATCTCCGTTCAATACAATTCTAATAAATTACATTTATCATTACTGTGCGTGACGATAACCCCCAGAAGAATCGTAAACCCCGAAAAACATGTGGTTTGACGTTCAGTCGTCCAGCCGTTATCTGCTCCCTGGACCCAACCCGCCAGACTGGAGGAATAGGCACAGATTTATACAATAAACTGGATTGTTAACCAGTGATAATAATAGAGGTCAACGTCGGCTATTTTGTGGGATTTATGTGTGTATAAATTAATGTAGATAGGTATATATCTTAAATCTTAATTGTCGTAAGCAGTGATATCAGTTATAAACATGTGGAAAGGTTCTAATTTTCACAAATATCGCGGAAACGGGTACCTTCAAATATCTCTATTGGCGGCATGTACACTTTGCAATCTAGTTTATTATATATTATATACAAGGTGATCAACTTATTGTGGACCATTAAATATCTCGCTGGGTTTAATAAGATATTACATTTTTTCTTTACACATAGTGTTTTTATGCAATGCGATCTAAATTTCTCGCCATTTGTTTGTTTTTACTCCCTCCCAACTTTTTTTGATGGAAACTTTTGAAATTTAAATGGTAACGCATACATTTCATTGACTTTTTAAATTGAGAACAATATATTAACAATTTCGACTGGGCGATAACCAGTTTTAGATAACTATTTTTGAAGTTATTGAAGTTTCAAGTTCAGGGCAAGAGGAAAGGTGAAGTGTAGTATTATTTTTATAAGCGCGCAAGATATTGTATTTACAATGGTTTTTTTTATTTATTTTTTTTGTGTTTGTACCCCCGATATTTTTTAAGCTACTGAACTGATTTCTTCGTGTAGCAGCTCTCAAGATCAGAAATCGTACTTGTAAGGTACTTTATTAGACTAAAAGTTTTAAAAGGTTAATCCCTTCCCCGTCAAAATCGAGAAAAGGCCGAAAAACATTTGCTTATGAAATCTGGAAAACACCAGATAACGAGAATTGTGATTTTAAAAGAATAGCAAATAAAGCATTTGCAAAAACTATATATTAATTATGCAATAAGCAATGGAACCTCTACAGTCCGGTATACAGCTATAATCCAAGCTACTACATCCTACGATTATAAACATTTTTGAAATCTTAAATATTTACCAATAATTTACATCTAAATGAATGGCGACTTAGATTGTCTCGAATTTTAATGAAAATACATTTTAAAGTACCATTGGTAACTGTTAAAAATGAATGTAAGAATACTTTTACAGGAATGTATCATGTATGTAAGGTCAGTTAAAAAATAACCTAAAACACGGTCACGGCTGTAGATTGTAAACTGCATACACCGGTTACCAGTTACCACTATCTGCTCCAATTATTGGAATTACCGCCTTTGCCAATCCGGACCTCAAGTGATCACTGATTTAATTTCTAGAAGAAAAAAATCATAATTTTAAAAATCGTATAATATAAAATATTACAAGGTTACTTATAATATAATGTTACGAATATATTATATCAACATAATATGTCTGTAAAGTATTTGCAATTTTACTGAATTTGCGGGTTTTGTTATTCTTCATACTGATATAATTTCGATTTATTCTTCAGCTTTTGGGGCTTTAAAAGTCGAACAAATATATTTTTGATATTATAGTTCTAGACAACAGTTGAACTTGATCATCGACTTCAGTGTCTTCTTGGTATTCACAGAGATGGTATCAGTCTATCAGATCGAATTGGGAACCGTTTAAATAAAGGTCATCTTTGATTGATTAATTCGACTTATGTTATCGCCTTATGCGGTAAAAATAATTGATAAAAAATCTATGACCACAATTATCTAAATAACCCCAGCTCCTTCTCTGAATTTTCCCTAACGCACGCGGCACAAATTGTTCTTGACTAGATCTGTTCGATATTTAATATAAAATATAAAAAAAAAAAAAAAGTATAAAATATATAAACAAGAAACGAGTGACTAAAATCTTACTTAGACGAGTATTAATGAAAAATAAGGCATAGTATTAAACAAATTTTTGAAAAAAATGCAAAAAAATGCCAACGGCACGCAGTGTTCCCAAGCGGTCACCCATCCAAGTACTAACTACGCCCGACGTTGCTTAACTTCAGTGATCGGACGAGAACTGGTGTATTCAACGTGGTATGGTCGTTGGCGATGATTGGGTATATTTTTTAAATATTTAACTGTAGTTTTAAAAACTATTTATTTGAGCTTTAAGCAAATTACTTGTCAAAAATAAATTGTATTATAGCATTTTCTCTTATAACAACCTAGTGGTGTTTTTAGTTACTAAGTATTTTTAAAAATGTAATGATTCAAAATTGTATTTTTATTAGTAGGTAGTTGATTGGTTACTAGTTACTACTAAATAATCAAAGGTATGTCTTTAAAAGTGATTACCCAAGTAACGAATCACAAATTATTTTTTAAGTAAGAATTTTAACACGTTATTTTTCTTAAATTATTTATAAAAAGTAGGAAAAATTACAATTTCCCGGTCCAGAATGAATAAAAAAAGTTATGTTATCAATGACCATATTTAACAGTAACTCCCTTGTGAACATGCACAATGTATTAGATAATCCTTCAAACTTGGTACTAGAAGTATTGGATTTGATTTACGCTCATTACAAAACTGTCGTTCACCACCCTTACTTGACATGCGAGCTTAATTATTAGCTTTCATTTTTATTTTAGTTCTATGAACAGCTAATTACAACTGATCGTATCCTACAATGGTAACAAGGAATAGGGTATAGGTTTGTGGAATTACAGTCCTTCCAGTTTTATAAATCAATATACAATTTATTTTTAATTAAGTTATTTAATGTAGCGAACAAATATAAACTAAACATGAATATAAAGTATCTTAATAGACGATATGTATTAATCTTAGAAATATTCTCAACATTAGCAAAAGTTCCCAAAGCTAGTCTTTTGGATTAACGTCTCGGTTGTAATGATGCCAAATAAATCCATACGGACAGCACCTGATTGGGATACGGATGTATGTAGACCGCCAATGCAAATTCAACTTGTGGGTTTTCATTCAAGTGTAATCCTGTTGCTTTAATCGATTCAATTAAATTTTCCGTACTGCTGTAAGGCCTGTTTATTGGAAACCCACACATCTGAAATTATTAAAAGAATTCAATATTAATAATTTATAAGGTTCATGACATACAAATACATATTGTCACTTGTAGAAGCCAAAGAAAACATTTTTTTTCCGTATTATAAAAAAAATTATTAAAATTATTGCAGACCTATAACAGAAACTATTTTTTATTAAATATAAAATATAATTGTTTAACCTTATGGGACACAAGTAGATGTTGCAACTCTTCGAGGTATGCGGTATCTAAATTATTTTTGCTCCAAGTCTCTTTTTCCAAATGAGGTAAGATTTTCCTGAGCACTGTAATGCAGTATCTATTCCATATAGTTCTGGATTTCATTCTCCATTTCATCAGAACGTTCCTCAAGGTGTTCTCCAGTTTTTCTTGCAACAAACGAGCGTCGGCGATGGCTGCTGGCATGTAATCAATTGTGGGCGGCTGAACCGAACCGCTAACGGTAGGTGCAGCTTGAAATCTACCAAAAGCGGCATTCCAGTCCTTGTTTTGCGTTACGTCCCATCTAGTCCTGGGCACTGATTTCTCAAGTTGAACGTTCAACCATATCTAATAAAAACACAAAAGTGATTTAGGCACGCATTACAATGTTATTATCATTTAAACTTCAAATACATTTTCATCGTTTATTAAACAGTAAACTTCTTGCAACGGTGAAAAACTATCACCGGTAGAATACTTTTGTCCAGTAAGTGGATCCCAAATACAGTGCACAGTCGTGTGATCTGGCAGTGAGTACAATGTCAAAACGTAGGCAGCGTCACCTCCACAGATGCCGGTTCCCAGTACGAGCCATACTTTGATATTGAGTTTCATGAAATAACAGCAAAGAAGAATGCCGTGATCAACACCGGAGCCTCCACCGTAAAGGAGGCCCAAAAGTTGCTGGATTCAAATAAAAAAATTTGTAAGTAACCGATTGTTGAAACAAGTAGTCGCAATGAAACTTACATCTCCAGTTAACCATACATCGAAGTGACCCATAAGCAAGACGTTACTGTTAACGATAGGTATAAGGGAAACAAATCTAGCAGCCATTTCAGCAGTTATTTGAACATCTTCCGATATGTCTAAAAAACACAAGTATTGAAAAGTTAATATTTTTTAGAAATTCTACTAAATAAAAATGAAAAAAACCACCAATTTTATTAAAATAAACTTGTTGAATGCATTAAAGATTTTGAAAAAAAATTTGTCATCATTTAAAACAAATACAATAAGTATATAGTAGTAGAATAATTACTATAAACCACCAAAATTGCAAATATCATGTTAGTATTGTTGACTTTGAAAAGTTGATAATTTGTTATAGATTTGCTAAGAGTTTGAACTTTGTTTAACTTGATTTTTTCTTTAATATTCAGGTGGGCCTTTTTAACCTAATACACATTAGGTCTATTTTAGACAATCTGATGTGGACTGATGAGGTAACACTTACTGGGTAGAGGTAAAGATCTGAAAAATCTCGTCACACAAACAGTTTTGCCACTACAATGTATCACAAGAGTTTTTACTTTGCGATGAGGCCACTGTTTCTTACCTTCGGCCGACCAATACTCCAAATACCGTTCAAAGTTTGGCGTTTCGTTGCAATCTAATTTTTCCTAGAAAATAAAAACAAATTAATAACATCTCAAAAAACATTATTGTCACATATCAAAATTCGGCTAAGCGAGCATCATGTCACTCTTTAGCATCACAGTGATTTTGATATACCTTAATAGGTTCAGGAGGATGCAATGGTGGTTGAGCCATTATGAATAAACTTAAAAATGTCGAATTCCTGTAGTGAGAACTTTCTGAATTTGAAATGTGTCTCTCATAACCTAAGAGGTGCCTCGGCGTATTCATTTGGAACACACCTTCAATCTGGATAAAAATGATAAACATATTTTTTAGTTACTCTTTACCCAATCTTATTTAATTCACCTGAGGACTATTGAACAATGCAGAAATCGGTATGACACAACCTCCCAACCAGTGTCTTTCCAATCGCTGATGAATGTTTGTTTCTCGTGCTCTTTCGTCTTCTAAAATGTCCACAACTATTTCATCATAAATATTGATGTGTATACAATCGTCAATCGATTGAACTTCGTTTGGACAAAAGTCGACCGAATTCGATCTACGCAGACAAATGTATTACATCAGTTAAAAACCGAATTCAACGGTTTATTAATGTGGAAATTTACCTTACTGTAAGCTTCAGATCTTGATTCCATGTTGGATTCGATCCTTCGGCTGTAGTTGTTCTACTTGTTTGATTTTTAAATGACATCTCGACGAATGGTTGAACTGGAACCATCGCCAAATCTCCTATCATTAAATCAGAATTTTTTCGCACGGGTACTTCAAAAGCTCTCATAACGTTAACTGTAACCTTAATAATTAAAACCAAAAAAATGATGAGTTTCTTTGAAAAATTGAAATCTAAGATAAAGTGACGGGCTTGATTTTACTCTTATTAAAAAGAATAATTGTTTTTTTCTAAAATAAAATATGTTTTTCTGAATCGGACAATTGTCTTACACATTGAAATAGAAAAAAAAAGTTTAAGCAAAATATTTCTGACAAAAGTTCTTTCCAAAATTTTATCAGAATAATTAATTATATTTGTAACGGTAAGATTAACTCGGTTGTAACTTATTATACATTTTTATTGTTAAATGTGTAAAATTATTATTCGATTTGGGAAAACATACTTGATTTTAGACTTAATTGTTTACTTTTATTTCTTGTCCGGATAGACTTTTCACTGGAATCTTTTTCCTTTCTTTCCTTCTTGGGCGCAACGGACGCTTGGGTTGGAACATTTTCATAAAAGTCAAGCCCAGAGTTCTAAAATAATTTTTTTTTTTAGTTTATAACTTGATTTATGTTTTGATCGACGAAAGACTTACCCTATATCTGGTACATTATCTTCGACTATGATGTCCCTTGTGATTTTATTTCGGTTTCCGAGTTTACATTGTTTGAGAATCTTGTCGTATAGTCTAATTACCGAATAGCGACCCCAAATTCGACTCGTTTCTAAAGGTCCTAAACCAGCAACTTCTAAAGCTAATTCGGACGTTGATGAGCGGTTTTCAAACTCCTACATGAACAAAGACAATGGAGTGTTATAACAGTTTGCGTTAAAATAATTATCCGGTTTTATAATAATTACTAGTTACTATCAAACCATGTCTTTGGGAAAAATCTTAATTAAAACATTAACAATTATAATATAATTAATTGTTATACATAAGTAGTTTTTATACTATTTCTTAATTAAAATATTGGTTTACAAATTTGTATTTACAAAACATTACTCACATTAAATATATCTTTTGGAATAACCCATTCTTTTAGTGGAACTGCTTTTATTGACCGAAATTCAATTTCTCCACGATCACGGAGTTTCAATAATTTTAGTCTCGGATTTGATACTAACTCTTCGTCCGTACAAAATTCTAACAGTTTTTTGTAAACGTTAAATCTGAATTTCGAGTTCATGTTACATACAGTTTCTTCATCAATGCTCTATTTAAATAAATACGACAATATAAAAAAAAACATTTAATATATAGTTAACCTTATAGTAGGTACTTTAAGAGCATCGAAAAACAAAGCGTTGTTTGGGTCGTTGGGGTCTGGATGCAAATCGTTCATCCAGTTCAATAATTTTTCCGTTTTAGCCGGTAACACACTGTTAGACCTGAAGCATATGATTTCCACTAGACTCGTTTATAAAATAATAAAAGTAAGAACTTACATCGACGAATACAATTTATTGAAATACTCTTCTGGTGGACATAATATTTTATCTCCAAATTTTCCCCACCCAACTTTACACATAACTTCGCCAGACGTATACAAGCATAGTGACTCCGTGTCCTCAGGAAATATTTTAAAATCTGTGCCGCTACCAACGCCAGCGTTTTGAACACTCTGGCTTCCAAAACAACTAAACTCCAATTTTTCATTGTTCACAACGTCTAACGTGGTGTTGCTAAAATTCAAAGTTTAATTGCTAATTATTATTATTATAATCAAAGTTGACCAAGTTACCTAGTTGGGAATGGAACGTAAAGCTCTGTGATGGGATCTTTGGTAAACACAGTTTTCGAACTCAAGTTTCCAGTGTGTATGTGCAAAGACAAAGTTTCTGGCCACTGATGGACTTCGACAACAAATTGTTGGTTGAAGTCGACGCTAAAAGTATTGTTCATAGGTACCTTGGCAGATTCACATACAACATGGCCGTTGAATATAACGTCAAACCATAATGAACACTTCGTCAATGCAGACCTCCTCTGGAGTTCACTATTAAAAAATAATAATTGAATTACCATTTTTTTTAGTTTGAGGCATAACTGAGAAAGTACTGTTATTACAAAAATTGTATTTTTATAATTTTTTTCTTTTCTATTTTTGTGTCTGGACCTAAGATATTTTTGGATAATTATGAGCCAATTTCTTCATTTATAGCAAATCAATAGAACAGGCAATTTGTATGCAAAACGTAAAGGACCTGGGTTTTTTTTAAAAAATTTTTTATAACAAAAAACAAGAATATCATAGTTGCTTACTCTTTGGCAGTTAATAAATCATCTGACGTTGATTCAATTTTAGTCATCATAAAACTTATAAAAGGGTCGCCAGGTGACCGAATAGATTCTGAAAGTTTTTTGAATACTTGATCTCGAACATTAGGAATATTGACTTCCATGTTGTTTTCCTTCATTTCTTCGATGGTCTCTTCAACTTGTCTAACGTTACATTTACGAATATTAGAGGTATAGTCGAAACGTGTAATGTGTACTTACCTCCCACTTTTCTATGATTTAAGCGTGCACTCAATCACAACAATTTTTGTTATGAGACACATGCATACATATAAATGTAGGAGGTGAACATGTAAAATAATTAACACCAGTAAAACAAAACGAGTTTTTAATCGATTTTACTTGTTAAATTCAGTTTCCCATTCTTCAGTATTATCGCTGTTTTCGACAATTATCTCCAATTTACTGTTAGTAACAGTATACTCTTGTCTTTCTCTTAACTTCTTCAAGTCCCTCCATGTGGCTAAAATGTTTGATATCAATGAACGGTCTACTTTACCTTCCAGCAAACGCTGAGAACAAGTTTCTTTGATTTCAGTTTTATATCTAAAAACAATAAAGTGAAATTGACCAATAAAAATTTTAAAAATATTCACTCATGTAAATTTAAATGGGAAATGTACCTCATTAATCGATTTTTGTGAATTTCTAATAACTCATCGTCCTTCTCTTCTGCTATGACTTTTAACAGAGTGTCTCTAGCGTTTCTCAAGGCGTCCAATCTACCAGACAAAATTTTTGTTCTAGCAATTTCTTGGCGATATTCATACTTTTGATACAGTTGTAAAAGTCGTTTATCAAGAATGTGTTGACGACTGAAAAGTGCATGATGACTAAAATGAATTGTGGACACTTCTAATTCCAAAACAAATTTCAATTCATTTGGGTCGTGCGAAAGTGGATTGTAGCTGTACGGATTTTTGTAAGGCATGGCCTAATTGTAAAATTTATTATTAACGACTAAAATATATTTATATATATAAACGTGTAAATTTCTCTCTCGAATACTTACATTTGTATAGTTTAGCTCTAAAAATCCATTACTGCTGAATGTTTCGGGAATCTGACAAACAGACGGGTTTGTTAAGGGATCGGGTAATCTAATAGGTTCGCCGTCTTCGCCGAACCAATGACTTCAAAACATAATAATTATACATACGTTTTTATCATAAAATGTATTATACTGTCAAAGTTTTGTTACTTACAACTCTTCAGCTTTTATAAGTCTTTGCTGCAGTTTGTTGAGACATTTTTCATAAACCGGAGGATAAGTACCCACGTATAGCCCTTCTTTTTCTGGATATCGTGGTTGTCTATGGTTTAAACGTTTTTCAAGATTCACTAAAACAAAAAATCATTTTGTTAAGAAAATTAATTTTTCAAGTGAATACTGTGTTTTTTATGTGTTTCAGTTAAAAAATGTTTTTTCTTAAATAACAATATAATAAGAAGTGTAATTTTGTTTTTTTAAATTGAGAAATTTTGTAATCCTTGTTACTAAAATAGTAACTTGTTTATTATACAACAATTATCATTTTACTTTAAACAAACAATTTCCATGCTTTTTTATGGAAAAAAATGTAGATTTAAAAAAATTATGAAAAATAGATAAAATTGTTATCGATATATAATACTATATATAATAATAAAATTATATAATATTAAATATGTATTAATATATTATCAATTATATGAATATAATAATATAATATTATTTAATTGTTAATAACAATAATTGTCTATATTCGGTTTAGTCATAAAGTGCATCAAATTGTCAATAGTATGCCTACAAAAAAATAGGAAGTAAATTAACACATCATGAAACCCTAATTTACATTATCTTTTTTATTCTAAGTTCAATAAAAAAATATATATTATAAATTAATAAAAAAAAATTTGTTCATTTAAGAGTAGTTGAATATTTTAAATTTAGTAACTGTATACCAGGGGTGCCCACAACGAGGCTCGTAAGCCGCATGCGGCTCTTAAATCAGTTTCGTGTGCCTCTTGAAACCAAGCTTAGAGAAAAATTAATAAATTTTCATTTCTTTATTTTATAAACATCTCTTAACAATGTGGATCGCTTCGAATTAGTTTTATAAATTTGCGGCTCCCAAAGTTAAGGTTGGTGGCCACCCCTGCTATATACTAATAAGATAATTATTAAAAAAGTTATTCAAACAAATAATTTCTTATGCAAGTTTTATAAATACAAATTAAAAGCAACATTGATGATGGGTTAATGAGAAAAAAGAGTTTAACCTGGTGATCCGTCTGGGATGAAATATATTTTCTTGGCTGCTTCTTTTATATTCACCGAAGTATCCATAAATGGCAATATAGCATAGTCTAAAACTTCGTCATCTTCTCCGTCGGTCAAACCTAAATAATCTGCAGTCACTAGTTTTTTGTTTTCCTCATTAGGATTGGAAATTTCAGGCTCTGTAAAATTTAAGAAAAAAAATGTTTGGAACAACGTAAAAATATTAGCTTGAATCTGAAAAAAGCCAACCACAAAACTCAGCCGATTGGTTATTGACATCTTGTAATGTAGTCGGAGTGTCCCATACTTTTGTAAAAAAATCATAACTTTCCGTTTCACTGTCAAGCTTTAAAAAAAGTATATATTAAATTATTTTCAGTGGATTAGTCGTAAGGGTATTGTGTTCACTCACCTACAACTTTTTTATGAACAAAGAAAGAGGAGGGGAGGGGGAAAGCAGATGCAAAAGCTTGATGCGAGTATGACGAACATGTGTTTATGATATGATTCAATGAAGTCTATGCTTGGAAAAGTGCACCTGTTTTTAGACAGGTGAGGAAATGCAGGTGCTCAGTTGCAGGAACTATGGTCAATAGATAAGGATGAAACAGCCCGTGAAAGAAATTTAACTTAGTAGAAAAACTAATAATGAGTCGTTGTGTGTGCAATTAAAAGAACACTGGGAATATATTGTAAAATATAAATATATAATATTACCTATTAACGACATAATTTTGACCAACCTAAAATGAAATTATTTGCTGTCAATTTACAGTGCCTCGAGTAGCTCACACTTGATAACACAGTGGGTGAACAAAATCTACAAAATAGTGCACAAATTCTCCAGTATATTGTGTAAATTTGATTAAGAGAGAAATACAAGTGAAAACATGACGTTTCCTTTTTGAAGTTACTGACCTGATTTGCTTCGCCGAACACCAAATTCTGGTTTTGTTTATCTTTATTATGTTTTTCTAAAGCAACTTGAACTGCTTGATTTTCAGAACTCATCTAAAAAAATTTTAGTCAAATTTAAGAAGGGCACATATGTAATCATTTTTATACAAAATATAAATTTAAATGTTTGGTGAAACATTTTTTTTCTTCAGATAATTCCAAATATTTGGTATTGCATACCAAATATTTATCATTATCCTTTACTATATATTGAAAAAAAAATTTAGTTTCACTATTTTTACACTTAGGATCTAAACTTTAAGCTACAAGGTTTATGAAAATATGATTTTTTTTCTTACAATAATTGGTAAACCCAAAACAACCCTTTTCTAATTAAATTTAGAAACCTCCCAAGACGAAATACATGTAATGTTTATTAATATAAAATAAAAACATTAAACCGTTAATTTCATTAAAAAATTATATTTGTCCGATTTGAATAGGAATGGTTTAAAGCAATGCGTTAATATAATATTATCTGATAGAAAATTGTAGCAATAATTGCAATATTAAATTTTAACAATTGAGAATTGGGTTGAAAGAAAATCATTAGATTACCATTTGAGCAAAACGTTCTGCTGGTTGTTTGATATTGTGTTGGACTTTGGTTTTGGCATGTTCGACAACTGCACTTGAAGCACGCTCCTGCGATTTAAAAATATGTCAGTATTTAAAACAATAATAATTAATTCTTCCTATTTAATTAATGAAGTACTTTGACTTGATTGACGTGTTCTCGAAGACGGTCTTTGAACGAGCGCACTTCCGATTGTGATGTACACGTACTTGACATACCGTCGATGGATGGACGCCGACTACCCAACATGCTGGCCGGACTCATGCCCTATGCAATGCAATATAATTTATAAAAAAGAATGTTATCCAAAATAACAACGTGTTATGAATGTTACCAAATCCAACGCGGCGTTTGGCGTTTCGTGCGGTTCTGGTGTTTCTATACAAAAATCGGTTACTTCTAGATCGTTATCTTCCATGTTGCACTGGCTAACCTTCCGTTTTAAATTAATATTTAAATTAAATTCACAGTATACCGGTAGGGTAGGGCGTAATTGACGGCACAATAAAACAACAGCTAAGCTAAAAGAATAATTAAGTGAGCGGCCCTAATTGTTGTGTTGTTTGTGCATTATTGTTTTTGAAATCGTCTCCATGGCGAACGACAACGTGCGCTAATAAGGTATGATAAGACGTGATGATGATAACTACGTTATCACAAACAGTCCCAATGGCGGGAAAACGACAAATTCGCCAAGATAACGAACGGTTTATCTCACAATCTTATTGATAAGATTCACCGTTGGGTCTTGGGTAGATGTTCAGTGTTTTGAAAATTTGAATAAATTGTATATAATATTATAATGTAATTCAATTATAGTTTTTTGCTATAGTTCGCTGAATTCTGAACTAGTTTTAAAATAATGTAGAATTCAATTAAATTTTTAAACCCAAACAAAATTAGACAATTTAAATTTTCAATTATTAATTTGTTTGTAGACAACATTATAGTTACAACTTTAAAGGTGATTTGATAAAAATAAATTGACGTGTAAATATATACCTGTATTTTGGTTTTTGATCAAAAATGGTGTTGTACACATTTTTTAATGGTTATTTTTAAACGTTATCTTTTGTCTACTGTATCAGTAGAAAAAAAATATAAAATCATTGATCAAAAATTGTTTAGTGCAGCCAAACAACTAGTAACGTATAATTGTAAGACAATTTAACAATTTAAGACAAATTGATAGATCTAATACTTTGGTTAAAAAAAATGTCTAGTCATCTGTTTTAATAACAATGATTATGATTAAAAGAATACAAACACTGTATTTGTAAAAACGTTATTAATAAATGTACTTGTGTTTTTGTACCTATACAATATTAATGTACAGTATTTGATGAGACGTTAACTCAAATGTGGAATAACATGATTGAAGAAACGGGACGATGGAAAGTTAATAAAGAACAACAAATTCGACTTCGGCCAGCAATAGGTAACAATAGCGGTGTTAAAATAAAATCCCCGTGTGTATGCCAACGGCCCGGGATGCGTATTAATTATATAATAATAATACCCTCGGTGTAGGTAACTTATACATACAGCCACCTGAGAAGTCATACTTGGCCGAGCGCGACGGCGGTGCGCAAACACCGATGGAAATTAGAAGCAGCGAGACGGTGTTTTTTTTAAAAAAATTTTAATTCTTCTACTTGGTTTTTCGTCACGGATGCAGCCGTTTCGTGATTTCCCGCTTGCATCATGACAAAAAAATAATCAGATAGGAACACCCTGTATAATTATATGTAACTGTGGGCTTTATTTTGATGTGCAGTAGGAATTTTAAAATACAGTACAGATGACTTTACGAATACGGTATACTTGAGAAATGAATATATATTGAATTTTTGTCACGAGAAATCTAGAAAAATATTGGAATCCAGTATTACTAAGTTGTCTCTTAAGTGGTTAACTCATATTAAAACAAATCGATTGTGATATAGACTTTTGGAAATATCAATATCACCGTGAACTGTGTTTTTAAACAAAACTTAATAATTTTTTCAATTTTTGTTGTAGGAGTGCCATTTTTATTAAATTTAATTAATCTATTTAATTTTTTAAGGATTTTTGAATAATTCAACGGTTTTATTTTTATGAAAGTACTTTTGAAAATAACTACAAGTTAGTTTTCCAAACACTTACAAACATATTGAATTGTATTAATTCATTAAAACACATTATAATTATTATTTGGAAAACAAATCATAGATAATGTTTATATTCAATTTTGAGGAAAACATTATTTCACTTCAATAATATAAGAGCACATATCGGCTACTTCTTTGTTAATTCATATTCATTCGACTTAATTAATTTTACTCTATTCCATATCGCGATACGTTTTTGAGTTGACGGCTTTTTGTACTAAAAATTAAAAAATTAACTTTCTTATTCATTTTTTATTTGTTATAAATTATATAAATATTTGAAACAAAGCGATGATTTTTTTGTAACGTTACTTTATAACTTAAGACACAACTTTTGAATATTAAACAAAAAAAAAAAAAATTCAGGGTCTTCAACCTGAACTAGTACGCGCTACGCGCTATATTAGGTAAAGTATTTAATACAAATAAAAAATAAAAATGTTAACAATATACGGTTGGTCGATATGGAGTAAGGACTAGGCTGTTGATACTCGGCGAACAAAAAAATCGTTTAATTGACCTCAGGTAAGTACGAAACTTCTGGATAATCGCTTATCCGCGACCGGCGACGACCTCGGTGCAACACACGTGTGCCATGCGCCATTCTTCTTCTTCGCTATATTATTAAGACGAATTTAAAGATGCTCTTGGAATTCCACAACCATTATTGATATCAATGACCCGCGCAGCTGCAGACGTTTGAAAAGTGAACTCGTTTGCGGTCGAAACGTAAGCTTCCCATTCACGCGAGGGTCACGCATGGAACGAGCAAAGCTCCATGCACCGGTGTCATGTGATCATTTTATTTTAATTCCTAGATCAATTTGTGTATGGAAAAAAAAGTGTTTTCAAAATACTCGGCTGTACCTATCTTGTTTTTATAGTTTTTTTTAATTTAGACTCTGGACCCACGATATCCTTCTATCCTTGCCATACCTGTAAAGTAATCGATAAGGTAATCTTACCTTATCATTCTCACAAATTCCTTACACAGACGGTACCAAAGCCATACAGAGTTAAATTTTTTATTTTTTATTTTACTTAACTATACAGTGGATGATTAAAAAACTACGAACCTGTCAATATTTCATATTATATATTAGAGATTTTTGGATCTATGGGAAGTTCTCGGGGTGTATTATTTTTTTTATCCAACTTGGAACGTTCTACGTGCATTACAAGGCTCATAAAAAGGTTCGTCCTATTTACAGTTTTCTAGGGTTAACTAAGAGATAAAGTCTTATCTGACCGTCACAAGAAAAATATAAATATGGGGCATGTCTCATAACGTTTTTTTTTTTGGACGTCCTCTTGCTAGGCATTAGGTCTCATCATTGGCTGAGACCAGACGATTGTTTTTCTAAAGCTACTTCCACAGTTCTATGCCGGTTAATATACATAGCATCTGAAAAAAGTTGGAAACTTTTTTTTTCAATCTTTTTGCAAGCTGATTTCGTCTGACCATGCCAAACCATTGGCTCGTCACAAGGCCAATCCTTAGCATTGACTTAACAATGCTCATATTATTATTATAATTATATTGTAGTATTTGCGTGAAACCCGTACAGCCTACACGCGTTACTCGTTAGACACGACAAAGAAACACTACACCGCGGATCTCCTCTTTATATTTTGTATTATAACACATTGGACCGTATCCTCGACAATGTGTTGTCAATTGTCATTGATTGCATTGGTGATTGTAGTTGTGTTTAAACAGTTTGATCACGTCCAAAGTGTGAGTGTTTTTGTAAGGTTCATTATCGGTTCATCGCTACAACGTCCAAAGAGTGTCTACAAAAAACCTCCACGAATATTTATTTTACAAATTGGCCACAATGATCATATAATATTATGCTATATTGTACTTAAGTAACGCAAACGTCCTTGTGCCGTTAAGAGTAAAATTTGCATACAAAAAAAAATAGATTTTTGTATACTTTATTTGAACCTAGTTCTTGCACGGTTTCATCGAAAATACTATTTAACTCTTATAATGGAACGCTATAATATGTATCAATAAGGTACACCATTAAACGCTAATGGGTTAAATTCTGTAATGCAACCAAATTATATAGACAATATAATTGTTATTGGCTATAAAACCGGATAACCTTACCGTAAGGTAACAGAGAACTAGGTCTTTCGTCAACTTGTATTTTCTGTTAAGAGGCAAATTTTAAATATAAAATGTTATTTTACTTAAATACATTGATCCAAGTTATTTTATATTTTTAATTTATTTACTAATTTGTATTTAAGAATCAGTTAGAATCCATCATCTCACAATGGCAGCGTTGGGCCTTAAAAGCCCGTTAAGCTAATGCCGATGATGATGATTTTGTATTGAAAAATAAATATAGAAACTCATTTTTTTTCGCTTTTCAAACTCAAAGTAAACCAAAAAATGAGCCATGTGAAAAGCTCAAACATTTAACTATAGGTATTTAGGCTATAATATAAGATGGAAGGAAAACATGTATACAGTATAATATTATTATACATCGTGTCTATTTTTTTAAAATTAATCTAAATTAATTTGAAAGCCGACTACGATGAATTATTTTTATAAAAAGTAATGGTTTAAATTTTTAAAATATCAAAATTCTGTATGTTTGCTTGTTATTCAGTTATGGAACTCACCGTTTCTCTACCGCCACGCCAACGGTAGTAAATGCATATTTCAAAAACACATTTGTAAGAAGAAAAAAGTATATTTGGACCGCGAAAACATCTTTTTGGAAAATCCGTGAGGTTAAGTAATTGGTATCTATATACTATATATACCAATCCTATACATGTATACATGTATACATAGGCCAAGTCAATAAATTGTTTTCCCACGTTTCAGGGAATCGGTTAAGGAATATCAATTTTTTGTGTTACGGTTCATGCACTTTCATATTAGGGGTAGGTGCCTGTCTATTTGTCGTAATATTATGATTAAATGTGTATTCTCACCGAACGGGTATTTTTCTTATATAAAATATGAACAGGGCAAGACAAGCTAAATATTACAAGACTGTATCTGTGAAGGCTATATAGGTACGTGTGTCACGGACCACTGGAAGTAATTATCACTGTTTACTTTGTAACCCGGACTGTATAGTAATACTTTGAGGTTGTGCATCACTTCGTTCCAGTGTAGTGCACACTAATTTCGGGTTTTCGGTGTGTCGATCGATTTCCAAAGTCGGTATACTCGCAGTGTTTGCTTTAATACCGTGTCTACGACACATGGACGTGCTTCAGGCCGGACCCGAAACCCCAAGGGATAGTAATTTTTGGGAAATCCGTTTTTTTTTTCTTTTCTCCCACGCGCGTTTACCGCGCTCCATAATGACGTACACTTAATCTACAAGAAGATTTCAACCCCTAGTGGGATTTCCCCCTTCGGTAATAACACCCGACATACACTATCTATGTGGATAAAGTGAGCTTGCTATTTTTTTTGTGTTCAAAGGTTTAATATTTGAAATCTATTTTGTCGACTTACACACACACACACACACACAATTAAAGCAGACGGATTTTTCGATTCGCCTTGGAATTTTACATGAA